GTCGCGGGGCTGATATTGCCCTAATCTGCCGCAGCACTTCCAATGACTTAATGACGCAGCATTTTCTCCAGGAAAAGTAATTTCACGCAAGTAACGACGTCTTTTTAAAAGCTAAGGGTCGGAGTAATGAAACGGAAGTCGTCAAACTTTCACCCATAAAGATGAGGGTGTTTTTGCCGAAGTGCCTTTCCTTCGTGTACTGCGGGGCGTGGTACCTCTTCTCTCTCTCTCCCCTCTCTCTGTCTTTCTCTCTCTTTCTCTGTCCTCTCTCTCTCTCTCTCTCTTTCTTTTTTTCTCTCTTTCTATCTCCCCCCCTCTCTTCTTCTTTTCTTCTCCATTTTCTTGTTATTCTTCCTCTTTACCTCCTTTTCCTTGACACCCACATGTTTCTGGATCTCCGTTATCATTGTAATATTGTCTTCAGTCACTTTTTTCTCCCACTCCCTATCACTAACTTCTTCTTCCCCCTCCTTCTCTCCCTACTTTCTTCCCTCAATCCCACACATCATCCAACTTCCTCCTCATCCTCCTTCCCTCCCTCTCCCTATCCTTCCCCAACCTCTATCCCACTCCTCATTCCTCACGTTCTCCCTCTTTCCTTCTCTCCACGTCACATTCACTCCCTCTCTCCATCCATCCTTCCCTTCTTACTCAGTCCCACACTTTATACCTCTCCCTCTCCTTCCCTCCCTCACTGTAATCCCCTCTCTCTCCCTCGCCCTATTTCTCCCTCCTCCTTCACTCCACGCTGCAACACCCTCCCCCTCTCCTCTTCCCTCCCCCCTTCACCCCACACTACAAGCCCCTTCTCTCCCTCCTCCCTCCTCCATCCCCCACTGCATCCCCCTTCCCCTCCCTCTCCCTCTTCCCTCCCTCCTCCACCCCCGTGCTGTGACTCAACAGATCCCGACGTCGCTTTAGATGGACAGAATCAGGTCCTATGACATCCTTCGGCTTTCTCCGACGCCTCTGCAATTTCCTTCCTTCGGTTGCTCTCTCCGCCAAGGAATGCGTCACTCACTCGCCTCCTACGTCAAGCGTGAATATCGGAAGATATATGAAGAAGGAGGAGGAGAAGAGGAGGAAGAGGAGAAAGAGGAAGAGGAGAGGAGAGGAGAGGAGAAGAGAGGAGAGGAGAAGAGAGGAGAGGATGAGGAGGAGAGGACGAGGAGAGGATGAGAGGATGAGGATGAGAGGATGAGGATGAAGGATGAGGATGAGGATGAGAAAGAGAAAGAGAAAGAGAAAGAGAAGAGAAGAGAAGAGAAGAGAGAGAAGAGAAGAGAAGAGAGAGAGAGAGAGAGAGAGAGAGAGAGAGAGAGAGAGAGAGAGAGAGAGAGAGAGAGAGAGAGAGAGAGAGAGGTTAAGTACATAAATTAATTTTCATCATTCTCATATTGCTTCTTGTGATCATTAATTTGATATTATCATGACTGTTGGTGCTGTTATTTTTGCTACTGTCTTTGGCATTATTAGTAGTAAGATTATGATTTTCTTTATGATAATGACGATGATAATATTTCGGTTGTTTATCCCTCTGATCAGGATCTCTTGACGAGTTCGAAACGTCACGAATATATTTAATTTCTTATTATCATGATGGTTATCGTGATCATTCGCCTATCTATTATAATTGATGATATTTTATCATTGCTGTTATGATTACAATGATAATAATAATAACAATGATAATGATAATAATTATAATGATGGTGATGAAAATGATAATAATAATGATGATGATAATAATTATCTATTATTGTTATTATCCTTTTTATCATTGTTGTTGTTGATGTTATCGTTTTTGTTATCACTGTTATCATCATCACCATTATAATTATCATTGTTGTTGTTGTTATTAATATTATTATTATTATCATTATCATTGTAATCAAAATTATGATAATGATAATTACTATTGTTTATTGTTACTATCATTTCTATTCATATTCTTATTATTAGCATAATGATAAACATAAAGATAATAATACTGATAAAAATGGTAATCATAAAAAGGATGATAATGAAAATAATGATGATAATAATAATGATAATAACAATAATGATAGTGATAATAACAATGATGATTATGGTATTAATCATAATAATAATGATAATGATAATTATGATAAGAAATACTCATAGCAATAATAAAAATATTGCTAATGGCTGCAATAATTATTCTTGTTATTAATATCATCATTACCATTCTTCTTATTGTCATCATAATAATTTTCATTAATATAATTATCATTGATATCATAGTCACTATCGTTATAGTTATTGTTGTAGTTGTTGTTACTACTATTAGCATTATCCTTATTTTTATCATTACTATTATTATAAGAATAATGATTATAATTATCATTGCTGTTATCATTATCATCATTATTATCATTACAATTATTATTATCATTATCATCATGATTACTATTATTATCATTAGTATTATTATTGCTACCATTATCAATTTAATTGTTGTTATTATTATTATAATTATCATTATTGTTACTATAATTGTCATAAGTATTGTAATTGTTATTATTATTATTATTATCATTATTATTATTATTATCATTATGATTATGTTATTGGTATCATTATCACTGCATTTATTTTTTTTTATCATTATTGCTATTATCATGATAATGATAATAATAATAATAGTGATAATAATAATAATAATGATAATAATAATAATAATAACAATGTTAATAATAATAATAATAATAATAATTAATAATAATAATAATGATAATAATAGTAATAATAATAATGACAATAAAAATAATAGTAATAATAATAATAATGATAATTATTATTATTATTATCATTATCATCATCATCATCAAAATGATCATGATAACAATTATTATTGTTATTATCATTATTTTCATTATTACAAATATGATGATAATAATAATGATAAACATTATTATCATTATCTTTCTATTATCATTGTTACCATTATGATTATTATCACCACTGCTATAACTATTATTATTACTACTATCATTGTTATTACAAATATGATAAGAATGATAATGATAATAACAATCATGACTGTTATCATTATTATTATTATTATCATTAATATCATCATCATCATCATCATTATTAACAATATCGTGATTACTATCAATGATGTTGTTAATGTTGTTATTGGTTTTATTTTTGTTATTATTTTTATTATTAGCATTTTTATTATTACTGTCATGCTAGTAGTTGTTGTGAGTATTACTGTTATTATTATCATCTTGATTATCATTAGTATCCTAATTGTTATTATCATTATTATCATTGTTATTGCTATTATTATCATTATTATCATTACTGTTATTATTGTTGTTATTATTGTTACTATTCATATTATTATTGTTATTAGTATCACATTATGATTGTTGTTGTTGTTCATCATTAATATCATCATTATCGTAGCTATATTTATTTCTAATATTATCATCATGATTATTACCAATATCAGTATTATCATTGTTGCTGATAACATCATTACCACTATTATCACTAAAAGTATGATCATCGTTTCTACCAGTGTTGCTGTCCATTCTCTTTTTTCTTTTTAATTATCGCTATCATTATCAGTTAGTTCTGAGGATTTCAAAAGGGACATGGTTCATGCCACTGACACTTATACTGTTAATCATTAGCGAAAAAAGAATGGTGAGATAATGACGATGAAGGTGCGTTGTAGGTTATCGATATTCTACGACTAATTCTGCGATGAAGAGAAATGATAAGATTTTGATGATTATCATTTTTGTTAACATTATTATTGGTGATAACCAAGTCAGCTGAATTCGTAATGTGATTGCAACTGCTCGTCACTAGACTAAGATTTGTACAGGCATACACGTCATTACATCGCTCGTAAGAAGAGCTGTAAATTAACCGATTACCACCAAAGTTTTGCAAAAGCTTGTGATATTGTTTTTTTTTCGTGTGTAGAGACAAATCTCAGTAGAAGTTAATGACTTTAGAAAAAATGTGACGGCTAAATATTGTTAAAAATGTAACCAGTGATGATGAGAGATGAGAGAAACAGCTGTCAGGAGCAGACGCATGGCTCTTGGACAGCACCTTTCTATGCCGGCTCAGCATTTTGCCCACGCGTATTGCCTTCCCGTCCCACTCGGCGACAGCACCGTATCAGCAGTGTTTGCTTTCCATCAGCGGAAGGCCAAGGATACTTATGAAGAGCTGGTTCCTGAAGCTTATCCTGAGGGGTGACTGATTCGCTGGTGCCACTGCCCAAGAAGAGGACGAAGAGAGTTCATCAATGCAGAAACTGGTTGCTGGTGGGAAGGACATCAGCTAATCCTTACGGGGTGCTGGCCGTGATGGGATTTCTATTCGGAAACATTCATAGGTCTGGGTGAATGGATGCATTTGTACACGTTTCGTTTCAGAGAAATTCTAACTGAAATGTCTTAATATCACATGCAAGGGGATATTTTTACCGTTTTTGTGGCAAATGCAATTATTAGTGTTGCGTTATTACGGTTGACATCTCTGCTGGTGGCATTTCTATGTTACATTTTTGCTGCCCCCGTTCTTTCATTGGATGCGGCAATGCAGGAATTCTATTTACGGCAAAGACACTTGGAAAATGAGTTGATTTTGAGCGAATGATTAATGGAATCCTATATTCCAATTTCCGAGCCTTTTTAGCCTCCGCATCATGATTGGGCGCCTCATCATTGCTGTTCATCATCATCGTCGTCATTGTCATTCTGGTTCATCTTCCTCGTTATTTCTGTTTCAGTTTTTATTGTTGTTTTGTTGTCATAAAGGCTATGAGCATCAACCGTTCCTCATGTTCCTCCATAATTGGTTCGATTCAAGCACAGCCGAACGTACCTCCGCCTGTCACCTCTTCCGTTCTTCGCAGACTGCGGCGAGTCCGCCTACAGCCACCGGTACTACATGCGGATCGTGGGCGGCCGCCCCGTCGTGGCAGGCGAATGGCCGTGGCAGGTCGC